AGATAGGGTATATCCTAAATGAAATTAGTCAAATGATAGTGACAATGACAAATGAGTCACCTGATGGTAATTCTGACGGACGTAATTGTGGTATAATTTGCATCCCATGCTCATGAATGGAAGTTGAAACATGGGTGAAAGCTTCCAGAAGCCTCAGGCATTGGCATATTATGGATAAATATGAATTACAGGCGAGTAGAAATTATACGACCACCGAGGTAGCAGATAGTCAGGCGTGTTTGCCTTACTGATGATAATGTGCTTTCTTGGTACATTTAGCATAATCGCCAACTTCCTTTAGGAACATATCAGAAGTGCGCCGCATAATTACAGCCCATGTCTAACGACTGTTCACGCTGCTATGCACGCAATAATGAGAAGCAGCATGCCATTACTGTGCTACTAGGTCACATGAAACATCCTCTTCATACCATTATTTTATCTACGCATGACATCCAACAGCTTCAGCCTAGGCTGGCGCCCGTCTCTGCTGTCCACTTGGCTGTAACACGAACGACTACACCTTAACTATCACGTTACTTATATCTAACCATCGCTGGGCCCTTATTCGACCTTCAGGTCTCGTGCACCTGGTGTGCTGTCCGCAGTATTTTACTGAGCCGAGATATCTCTATCCCCCTGTCAGCCCAAGTCGCGCTCCACCCTCTGAAGAGAAGAGGCTGATACGTTCCAGAAGACCTATCCGCCCACGCTGGACGCTGGAGTCTGGGTCAAATGGTGACGTCAGGGGCGTGGACCGAGGGTGGGCGACGTCAGACGACTGATGGGGGCGATGACGCTGATGGTGGGATGACAGTTGGGGACGGGTGGCGTCAGTCGGTGGTATGTGATAATGGTGCATTTTGCCATTTTGGTTTGCTGCTGGCTAATGGGGGGCCGGGGGGGGGGGGTGATAGTTGGGTTGGGTGTGGGTACACTCGTGTTCAGTGCAGGACGCTTCATTTTCAGACAGGTTATGTCTGTAAGTGTTTAAGGCCGTGGGCAGCGGATAGACAGAAGACAGCTGTTGTTGTGTAAACTTTTTAATTCATCTTTTAAGAGTTTGTTTTTGCTCGACGCTCTTTTTTCTCCACTTTGCACCATACCCACATGCATTTTCACTTATGAGCAAATTTTGATATAGCAATCCTTACAATGCAGAGCCCGAACAATTCACTGCATGTCCTCTCCAAAGTCAATGGGTGTTGTTTCCGGCATTCAACGTTTCTTGTCGCGTGTGCTGACGAGAGCATCCGGCGTCCGAACATCAACGCCATCCGCCTGTTCACTCTCGGGTGGCACTAACCGGACAGAACTGGGTACCACGGGTCAGAGTCGTTCACTGTGGGCCCACCCGCCCAAAGAGGTTTTATTCAGGGATCAAATAATTGTTTGAAATGTAAGAGGATTCGGGTATGCGTGGTGAGATACACATTTAGGCCATGGCTTTTTTGACGATGCTAAAAGGCACGCCTACATTAGCTCCTGTGGTAAGGTAGAAAGTGAAAGAAAGTGAATAAGTAGGTAGCTGGGAAAGAAAGAGTTAGAGAACAGACAGACAGAGGGAGAAAGATAAAGATAGGACGAAGAAAGAAAGAAAGAGAGAGCGAGAGAGCGAGAGCGAGAGCGAGGGAGAGAGAGAGAGAGAGAGAGAGAGAGAGAGAGAGAGAGAGAGATAGATAGAGAGAGAGAGAGAGAGAGAGAGAGAGAGAGAGAGAGAGAGAGAGAGAGAGAGAGAGAGAGAGAGAGAGAGAGAGAGAGAGTGAGAGAGATAGAGAGAGAGAGAGAGAGAATGAGTGAGAGTCCAGCTATGAAGTTATGTCCAGCGGACGACCGCTGCCGGTGCTGCGTTCTATTGTCTACAGCGCCCGGCGGCGGCGGCGGCGGAGACGGTGGCGAAAGTGTCCCCGGCTCGCCACCAGACCCTGGGCCCGCCTTCAAACGCCATCGGCGCCTTCGGACGCCACTGGGCGTCATCGAATGTCGTCCGTCGAGACAGACCACGTGCCCTGGGTCTAGGTCAAACTCTGAAGAGAATACCTTCCTGTCTGTCTGTCTGTCTGTCTGTCTGTCTGTCTGTCTGTCTGTCTGTCTGTCTGTCTGTCTGTCTGTCTGTCTGTCTGTCTGTCTGTCTGTCTGTCTGTCTGTCTGTCTGTCTGTCTCTCTCTCTCTCTCTCTCTCTCTCTCTCTCTCTCTCTCTCTCTCTCTCTCTCTCTCTCTCTCTCTCTCTCTCTCTCTCTCTCTCTCTCTCTCTCTCTCTCTCTCTTCCAGAACTGGCTGTGACCCCTGCGTTCTAGCTGTGATGACCTGGCAGGAAAGAAAGCGGTAATGGCCATCTTGCTGCTGAAAAGTCCGCAGAAGAGTACCTTTGAAAACGTTACAGCAGTTCTGACGTGTTCAAAGCCTATATACAAACGCATTATTCAAATAATTTATAAACTATGAAAGAAAATCACTGTTTGTGTGCTCTGCGTCTTGCCACAATCTATTATCTGGCTTGCGAGAAGGAAAGGCGCTTTGTTTATTGTTAGCACTGAATTAACCACGCTATAGGAAACTGATATTGGTGCAGTGTGGGCTGGTGAACCATATACGAATATACCACATAAGTACCATACAGCTTGTGGTAAATTTGTAGGTAAAGTTATGTGTAGCGCATTGCCCTGCGATGCTGCATATTTTAGCCCAGCCGTGGTATACAGTATACACCCGGTCTGCCCCGCCTGACCCTGTGACCCGTTGTGGCCGGCGGCCGACGCCCTCCGTTTCCGGCGGGACCGGCGGGCGGCTCCGGCAGGGTGTTTGTTTACACTCTGCCACCCGAAGGTTGTACCGAATCCAGCCAGACATACGACACGTAATACTCCGAACTCCAGAGACCAGGGAGGATGTATGGGTGTGTGGGCCGGTGTGAGCCACGTAACGCCAATGGGTGGCAAATCCGGACTGCACTGGTTTGTGTTCATGGGAGGACATACAGCTGTTTTGTGCTGTTTTTACATAAGGACACTTGCTTATGAAATCACTGATCAGTGATAACTCCATAGTGAATAGTCACAAAAATGCATGTTTAGCCAAGTTTTTGGAAATAGCACTTTTAGCGATACGTCCCAACCACATGTACTGGAAATATATTATTGTTTCGCTATTCCGAGCTCCGCCGCAGCTGCAGACGCCACCTCGGAGATCAGCCCCCTGTGGCGGACCGGCCACCCGACTCCGGTGACCCATTAGCGCGCACGTGTTGGCGGCGCCGTACGCTCATGACTCCCCGTGGCACGTGCTCCGCATCGTCCTCTCCACACAGCATCCCTCTGTGACAACTGTCGAGGGCCCGCTGGCCGGTGCTCGGCAGAGGACCCCGAGAGGCACAACATCCGGTCCCGCCGTCGGAGAGACCAGCTCAAATGGCCGCCAAGACGGACAACTGTCCCACTGGATGCGCCGTTTCCGTCGTCCTGTGTTTTTCTTACGAGGAAATTTACGTTTCGGGCGTGGACCGTTAGAGGCGTCTTTGAGGCGGCTGTTGAGAATATGGAAGACGATGCTGCCCTCCTGTCTCGGGTGTCGCCGAGGGCGCCCGAGGACGCGTTTATGGGTCCGTATTTCAAACGGAGACGGTATTCATTGGTCCTGGCAGGCCAGTTACTGCTAGACAATGGTGAGCTTCTTCAGGAGGATTGGGCGCCGAAGCGCGGTTAGTGACCTTACGATATCACATGCAGTGGACAATGAACATGGCATGGAAGAAAGTCATCGCCATCGTTCGTTCGTTCCGCTAAAGTGAAGCTTGCATTCGAATGCAATATCTTACTTCCACCTAAGCTAAGCATGCATTCATGTGAATAGCATTGTAATAACACGAATGATCCTTTGCTAAGATAGCGAAGGTATTTTGTTTCTGCAAAGTCGACGACCATCGATAACGTGGCATTACGAAAGCAAATGCTCTTTTAGTACGCATTACGTTTTCAATAGCCAGTCGTAGAGCGAATATATAACTAAATGCCGATTATGTATGTCATCATGACTGCCAAATTTGTATGCATTATGTAATACGTATGCATCCTGTATTGCTTGGATCTCCGGATTGATTCACCAGTAGGTAACAGCTTCGTACCGAAACCATTATACGGAACTGGATACCATTTTCATAGCTCTGATACTCATCCCGTTCAGTATGTCATTGACTTCATGGCCTCCGTTTATGAGCGGCCAATTTCCGTTGCAAGCTGATGTAACCACCATCTCCCTAGTCCGCATTTATATTCCTTTTACGCTGTCCGGTTATTTAAACTCCTATCCAGCGACCAGCTGCCCACTCCCTCCGCCCTTTCCAAACTGACCACGTGGTGCAGCCGTCCCCCGCCAGATGACCACCTGCTCCCCTCCCCCGCATCGCTCCCCCACCCCATGGACCCCGCAACGCCAGCGACGATCAGTCGTCGAGGACGACGATCGGTCGTCGAAACCGACGCATACCCGGCAGCGTGGTCCCCTGCCTCGCTGGCCGCGCGGCCAAGAACAATGTACGGCGGGGAGAGAGCAAACAGTGTGCGTCTGCCGACTGTCTGAGCGGGCCTGTCGGCTGTCAGTCGTCCTGACGTCGAACCCGCGTTCAGATGACGGGATGGTGTACTGAGCGACGAGACCCAGCCGAGCGCAGCCAGTGAATGGCCGAACGAAAACAATGAACGTACTTTTGCAGAGGTGCGAGTCAGAATGAGGAAAGAAAAACTTGGAGTGAAGGAAGAAAAACAGTGTGAACGGCGGGAAGTCGAGCCAAATGATGTTTGTGGTGTAGACAGTCGTTTAGAGACGAGCTCAAAGTGGGTTGAATGAACATTGGATTATGACTGAATGTGACTGACGGAGGAATTCGGTCAGAGTTTCACGTCATATTTCTGCTCTTACTTTCGTACGAGATAGAGTTTTCACTTTAATTCATTCGTAAACGATTCGATTCATTCTTCGTTTGATTGATATTAGAAAACGTGTCACACATTTGAGCACATATATTTCATGACTGATGAACAAAAACGAGATTACACTCATGTGACTAGATATCTGAAGACTGACAAGTAAATGAAAATGACACATTTGGAGTGCTTCTCCGTTTAATTATGACTCGTCCCTGACTATATAACAATTCGATATTTGCACTGCCACACGGCAAACAAGCAATAACAGCAAACACATGATCAGCGTGGACTGAAGCGCAGGCCGACCGGCAGCTTGCGGTCGATTCTCGCACACAGCAGGAGATACGATGACTGACAGGTCTGGACTCCAGTCTCGAGGCCGGGACTCCAGTCTCGAGGCCGAGACTCCCGTTTCAAATCAGTCCTCCGATGAGACGGCCCACTGGACGCCGCCCGCGGCGGATTCCAGGAAACTCGCGCCAGCTCCACAACCGTTCTGAGAAGAGAGCGACCGGAGCCGGCGTCGTTTCCACTCGAGACTTCAGTCGATCGATACACTCGAATTCATATTCTGCAACGGAGAAGACAAGATGTTAGAGCGTGCATGGAACATTGCCTTGCAGATCTAATATATCAAGCTTCTTTAACAGAGGTATTTGTGTTTTCACTAGACATGCAAGCATTTGATGTCATCAACATGTAAGTGAACATAAATAAACAATATTATGGGACATATTACGGTTCCTTGTTCAACACCTCATGACTCAACCCGACATGATTCCACTACCCGTTAGGCCTGGCTCCCACAGTCACCGCTAATCCCAGGTAGTCTGCCATGAGCACGCGCCGCTGGGTGTTCGCACGTCTCTGATTCACCTGCCCTCGCTCTAGCTGAGTTCGTGAATCAGCTGTCCCCGAGGCGTTCCAGGCCAATCAGCCACGCTGCCGGGAGGCTCCCACAGCTAACGATGATGGGGAAGCCTCAGGGGATCCCAGCTAGTCATCGACGTGCGACTCTGATAGCCGCTACGTCATTAGACGCTACTTTCACGTCTGGTGAAGGAAGCCCCACTTCGCGTACCTTTGGTAAAGCAGACGTGCCAGCTGGGACGTCTCAGATGAAGAGGAAGCTGTCGTAGTTCCTCGCGGGTGCCAAAGAGAGGGAGCCGGCCCGCAGACTGCCCGAGCGGCGAACCTCTCCGGTCTCCTTGTCGCGACCAAGACGGTTCAGCTCGCGGCCACGGCTCCAGTGCAGGAACTGAAAAGAGGGACGGTCAAAGTGAGACGGCTGGTTGGAAAATAAACACGGAGCGAGGTGGGAGATGACGTCCAGATATTCCGCTGAAGTCTGGAAATAGAGTTGATGAAACGGTACCGAACTTTCATTATCATCGCGGATGGTTTGTGATGTGCTCGACCAAAAATATTCTACGAGCATTCTTGTCAAATAACCGAGCTATTTTTAGCAGCACCACCAGGATAAAGTCAGACTATTCTTGGACCGAACTCTGCGATATACTAGACTAGCATTTACTGTCCATATTCCAGGCACCCAAGACAGTCTCCTACTCCTCCTGCTCCTCCTACGCAATAGAAGGAGGACCAGCGCCGCGGAGATCTTCTCCCGTCAGACACATGCCTATCAATCATCCACCCCTCCCCTCCCCTCCCTACCACCGAGCAGCCACTCGGCCGCACCGCGCTGAGCCATTGATGTGCCACGATTGACGCACTAGCTCCGGCAGCGACCGCGGTCACTCGCTAAATAAACCCCGTCACTGGGCGTCGGGGTGCCGACCACCCAGCATTGCTTGCATACATCCTGACCAGAGGGAGCCGGCGGAAATGAACCCGGGGCGGGGACCGGGAGGGGCGTATAGCGGAGGGCGGTGGCCGCGGGGCGGAGGGGAGGGAGGAGAGGGTGGATGATGTAACCAGCATGTGGCAAAGGCGAAGTGCTAGGATGGGTGAAGAGCAACAATGAATAATGTAGCAGCGTGTGCGATGCAAAAATAGGCGTTGCACCGTGTCGAAGCTTCTTGGAATGGTTGTTGATGTGCAAGGACGTTTCAAGGCAGGCAAGTGTCGAGGTGTGAAATTACACCCGAAGGCAATGATAACACGGGTAAAGGTGCAGTGGTTACATATTTCCCGAATGAAAGGAAACACTGCAATGTACGAATAAGCGCTACTCACCGATCTCCTGAGCGGGAAGTCTCGTCCTGACCGCGGCGTGCCCGGCGGCCACTTCATCAGCACGAAGCTGTACTCGGCCGGAGAGGACCACTCCTGCTGGATGGCCAGCGGACGGTCGTCGGCGTGCAGCTTGCGCTCGAAACTCGTCGTGTGACACACCTGCAAGAGCAAGGTCGCATACAATCAGCGGACCGCCCGGCCGGAGACTGCCGCTGCAAAAACTGCAGACGAGTTATGATGATGTCGGGACTCGGGCGCTGTCGTAAGCTGTCATCGCAAACTGTGGCGGGCCACACTGTGGTGTTCTGGTGTCTTTCTCCCTCTAACTGGACTGTCAAGCTCTTGTGCAGAGACTTCTACATAGCACGCTAGCTTACACGATGCGTAGCGGGGGAGTTTTTATGAAAGCTCGAGGACTTCAAAAGCATCGCCAGCGCAGAAAAAAAATGTCCGATGGATAAAAAGATCTTTACCTCGTATATGCTGAAGAGGTTGACACTCTCGTTAGAGTTGTAGCAGTTGAGGACCAGCTGGATGACCTGATCCACCGTGGTGCGCTCAGAGATCAGCAGGCTCTTGTACTTTGACTGAAACGAAAATAAACAAACTTGAAATGCGAACTACAACGAACAAAACATAGTTAACCCTCGCCGGCACAGGGGGGTTTGATGCAACCCCCCCTAAGTTTTTTCGCGAATAACTCGCGTAAAAAGCGGCCGATCGCAACGAAACTTTCAGTACCCTCGCATTGATCAATTTTACACATACCCTGAAAATTTCATGACCCTGACCCAAATGACCTTTGACCTGTGACCTCTTTTCCGAGACCATGTTTGGCCGGAATCGCGATTCCGCGTATATCGGTTCGCTTTAGCCGCGCGTTTGCAAGCTTTTCGTGGTTTCAAACGTTCAAACATGTGATTTGATGTTGCTCCCATACATTCGGGTGGGTGTCAAGGTCACCTGAAGGTCAGGTCAGGTCATTGACCTTTGGTGACCTCGGGTGACCTCGGTTCACTTTTTCGAGTTTTACATGTTTCTAGGCTAGTTTTTGGAGCTGAATTCGAATTTAGCAACCATTTGAACATTTATGAAGTAGTTTTGGTGCCTTCGTAACATGTTACGAAGCTGTCAGAGGCGGTCGACACGTATTACGAATACCCGTCACAAACCCTACCGGTTGACCTGACCTGACCTGACCTGGTCTAAATGCTTGAAGACATCATCTCTGATCAAAACTAACACGATATTCGTGATCAGCACCCCGGAAAACCACATAGCAGCCACACTTTACGACTTTCTAACAGGTCCCGATTTTCCCGGTTTTCGGGTCATTGACCTGACCTGGAAGGTCACCCGATGACCTAGGACCTTAAAATTGGGTATTATCGGCTTCCTCTCGTGACGGGCAACACGCTCGTTTTTTTCCGCGAAGTTCTAGCTCGATCAGGGGCCAAACGCGTGGGGGGGGGGTCGTACCACCCCCCCCCCCCCCTTGTGCCGTCGAAGGACTCAAAATGGCCTGTGCCGGCGAGGGTTTTAAAGTACACATGGATTTCGAGGTCACTTCACCAGAAAGAAAAGAAACTCAAAGTAAACAAAACATCCACAAGACATGAAAGTAAAACACTACAAACTAGTAAAAATGACCACCTATAATAATCCGTCTGATTTCGACAAACTCCTATTGAACAACCAAATGGACTATGAAGTACGGATCGTTTCACAATGCTCACCTCGGCCATGAGAACGCTGTCGCAGACCTTCACCAGACCTCCGTGCCTCATTCGCACCGTGAACCTGTAACAGACAGAACACGACGTTAAACAGCGGCCTCTCAACCTACCACACAATGTGTCCACAATGCGGCCAGCTAAACACCACCTGGACGGCAGGACCCGTCCTTTTAAATCCCGTAAATCCCACCCATGAATGGGACGGACACCGAACTGGTGTCAGGCGCCTCACTGGGACCCTAAACACCCAGCCGCCGCGTGGCTCCAGTTCCCACGCACATAGCTCTCCGGGAGACCTAGTTCGGTGGTTTGGTCACCACCACATTTGGGTAACGAGCTGTCCTCGGTTGTGCCGCAGTTTTCACACGGCCTGTGGACCGGCGCCGCGGGTCTCTCAGACCGCGGTGTGTCGAGTGTCGCCCCGGCGGCGAGGGGAGTGAACGGGGACACGGCGCGAGGACAGCCTCGGACGGAGTGGAGGGGAGGGGTGCCGCTCTCACGGGTGCCACGTATACTGGCAGGCAGTCACACCCGATAGCCGTGTTGACTACAGGGCGAGTTTTAGGGCGCTGTGCGCGGGGCCGCGGGCGGAGGAAGCGAAGAGAGAGGGAGGGAGGGAGGGAAGGAGGGGAGGGAAACTCCCAGCCCAGCTGGCTCCAGAGCGGAACGTAATGGACAAGACAGACGGACGGGGAAGACGTCGTGACTGGCAAAAAAGGCGGCGTTGAAGGGAGGTCGCAGTGTGGCGAGTGCGTGACGCTATCCCGCGAGACAGCTCGTGTCTGCTCTGACTTACTTGGAGTCGGCTCTGGGGTAGCAGGCCTGCAGCTGAGCGGGACACGAGTCGTCGTCCAGAACCAGGATGGTCCGCACCGCGGCACCTGTCGACAGAACAAAGGAACAGTCAGTCTATGGTCGAGCGGGCCGTTATTGGGCCCACACCCACTTCCTGGTGCGAGAGGAAGCTGCGGCTCCGGCCGATTCCGGACCATCATCAGCGACCATCACGACCCGCCGGGTCAGGTCACGCCACCGTCCATCGACCGGGTCAGTCGAACGGTCACGTGATCGGCCAAACGAAGTGGCACAGAGGCGCATCTGGCACTGTCGGTCCGGCAGCCACCGGGTGAACCCAATCGACCCTGGGCGGGGTCTGTGCGCCGGTAATGTCACACAATGTGGCGCAGTGCGCCGCGCGACCACACAATGCGGCGCAGTGGCCCAGTTTGGGCCTCCAGCACGCGACTGGGCTGGTGGGGGACCGAGGCCACACGCACATTTGGCACGCCCCCTTTATGATAGCCGTGCATGGCCGGCTTTGGGCGCTACCTGTCAGTAGCGACGGAGAACCCCGAGCTTGGCTGGGCGTCGGCGCGATCGCAATACCACAACGCGAGGAATGCGTGAAAGTTGAACGTCCGGAATGCAAGATTACTCGGCCTCGTGGAGGTCGCTGTCAAACCGCATACATTTCACTTCGGCACCTTATCTGCTAATGGCACGCATATAATTGCTTACCACACTACCGATCTTTCCTACAAGGGCATAAACTTCAATAAAATGAGCCAGCCGGTATATCATTGTAGCTTAAATCGGCGACGTTCGCATTTCAACTGACCTGTGCTCCTGGTGGCGACCTCCATGGTGAGGAAGAAGAGGTTCGGGTCGCGGTGCTTCATGCGGTACTTGTTGAGCAGCTGGTCCACCAGGTCTCGGCAGGTGGTCGTGTACTTGACGCTCATCGTCTTGTACTCGAGGTCGGGGCGCAGACAGCGCGTGTACACCTTCACAGTCGTCTGTAACAGGGTGACACGCTGGTTAGATATCATGTTCGGTGGAGGCTCAGATGTCACCTGCAGTTTCAGTGGGTGTTGTAACTACACGGAAAATACAGTTGACATGATGTGTCGTGGAAATTCGAAAGAAACGCATCATCGTCCTGGTATGAAGGAAACAAACGACATCTCGTATGCAAATGCATACTAATCATGTAAAAACTTAGGATGTATATGTAAACACAGATTACGTCATCGTCTTCACCAGCCATGCACGACAGCCTGACGTGCACCGTAACGGCGCTCACGCACGATATAATGGCTTCAAAGGTGGGCCGGCCAAAAGGCGGGTTAGGGAAGCCCAAAACATTAAACTTGGTTCTGCATTTTGGGCAACCAGGCCATGAGCAACAAAGGATATGAATATGATTAACCCACTGGCACTTTGATATGCTTCGAAACTCCACAGTGCCGTGGAGTCTTGCGTTTCGTACATTCACAGGAATGCGAAACGCATGCATGATATCTGAAGCGTAACGCCGTTGCAGCAATCATTTAACGAGAATCTGCAGCCAAATAGAGCAAACGCCCTGCAGTAGTAACATAATTAAAATAATAATCATGAATAATTTCAATATGCATTGGCGAAAAGTATTTCATTCCTTATCCCCCAACACTCAGCGATGCTGCCAATACGATGGATAAAATGTCACAAAAAAGTGTTTTGGAAACTCTCAGTTAAAACTACTTGGGATGTGTGAGTAAATAATAGCTAGTAGCCGACGGGTCTCATTTTATGTTTCAAGACATAAGCGTTCGCATTCCGATACATTAAAATTCTAGTACAAAGCACCGCAAGCAAATGATTGTGTGTAAGTAACCACATGTATATACGAAATGCTCAGGAATTAAGACCATGCCATAAACAAGTTAATATACAAGGAATGTCGGACACGCATCCGCCATCGAGCAGCGTACCGGCTTCGATCACGTTCCACACGGTACTTCGGATCAGGCTCTTTCGTGAGGTCGTTTCTCCTCCACGACTCTCTGACCCACTGAGCCGAGACCAACAATGGAAATTATGTGGGAACTTTAGAAAATTGAATGATGACTGCTGATGGCGGGTTTCAGCCCGGCTAAAGAGGCATCGGGAACCATAGACGACCCACGTAAGTGCTTTAATCGACCACCGGCTTTCCAGACCACTATCCGTGGTAATGGGATACGATCAGCGCCACTGGACGGTTCGGATGCTCCTGTCCGCTATTCCACACAAACAATGGGCTGACCTATAGGTCTGCTTCTGTCGTCGCCTGGCTTTAGAGTGCTAGAGACCGCAGGACCGATTGGCAAAGCACTGTTTTTGGACGATAATTTTAGCATGAGCTGTGTGTGCATTTTTATGTATTGAACTTTGGTTGTACGTTTGGCATACACTTTCGATTATTGTGAATTTTGGTCGACCATACGAAGGGCACAGAAGAGGGCCAGAGTCGTTTGTTAATGCTTCTTCTGCAGACTAAACAGCCCATCAGCAAAATACACTGGGCTTTCCTCAGGGAGGCATCCTAGCGCCTGTTCTATTTTAGTCCTCTGCCAGACCTGGCCCGAGCAACCCTTCCCCGGGACGGCGACATTCCTAAGAGTGTTTTGACGAACGGGGACCGGTTCTGGGCCGTGTGATAATAACAGACCCCTCCCTCTCTCCTCGGTCTCACCCCGTCCCCCCGGTCGTACCCAAGGGTAGGTCACTGGCCGCGGCAGATACCCGTTCCCACCCCGAGTTGAAGAGGGAGGATCGCCCGACAGCGGACGACTGGAGAAGGTCCATGGCCGGTCTGCATTGTGCCAAAGGACGCAATGATGTCTCAAAGGTTCTGAGTGAGCAGTTGAGAAGCTGGTATAATCCTCGGTCATGCTAGATCGGCACGGCGAGGGATCACTCTCGGAGGAATTCGCCGTCATCACGGGGTCATAAGCCCCGTGTATCACCGAAAAGGAATTTCGAGACGATAGAAAACAAGATTCCGAGTAGGGCTGTGACAACGTCGAGTCACGTTATAGCTGTGATGATCAGTCGCCAGAGCTTTTTTATGAAAGGGAAGGCATGGAGGGCTTCAGGAGATATATCATCTGTGTGATGGATTGCACGATAGAGACAAATATGCAGAACGTATTATGCGGTAGTTTGGTAAGGCTGTCCCGACTGTGCCATTTAATTGGTGTCTATTAGAGGTTCTAATTGGGGCGTGATGTGTTGCCACACTATTTCATTTAGACAAAACCCATAGGATGTTGTTCTGTAGCGTTCCAAAAACTCGTTGGAACTCACCGTGGGCGGTGCGGCGGGCACGCTGGCGCTGCCCGTGCTGCTCTGCGTCTCGTTCAGAGACGTGTACGAAGACGAGCGAGACGACAGCGCCGGCTCGTGCAGCGAGCAGAAGCTCATGTTGGAGTTGATGCTGAGCGTGTCGGCCTTCTGGCCACCGGGCCGCAGCAGCGACGAACTGGAGCGCACCTGCACGTGCTTCAGCATCTTCCTGTGGGGAGGAAAACTCGGTGAGCGATGGGTGCTGAAGACGTGGTCATCAGTCAAGGCCGGTGGATTCTGTCCAATTATCCTGTGTGTGTCTGGTACGCATGGCTCTCGGCGCCCCAAAACCGACCAGTCAGTTTCCTTATTTATCGACTAATCACCATGAATTTACGATAGAGTTGGTGCAATCATAGCGGTCAAAGAGGCGCCCCGAATTTTCCGTCTACAACAAGCACCGTTCGCCTCTCTAGTTTGCAAAGTTTTGTGCCGTCAATATCCTCAATACAATGGGAAAAAATGTTGGGCAAATAATTGAGTGCAGCGAGGAGCGTCAGGGTCGCTGGGTCGTGAGCGCTGATCTCAGCATTGCTGGGTAGAGGCGACTGTTCGAGCGATGTCGATACAGATCCCAGAGTTTACCTCGTCCGGAATCTAGGGCCGGGAGGGCGGGGAAGCAAGTCGCCAGCATAGAGGTAAACAGGGCAGTTCCACGTCTCTTTCCTTCTCTTTAGGCAACACGGATGCGGCTATTGAGGCTTGGCTTTTGGAGGCGTTTTATGCTAATATTGGGCTAACCAGGAAACGGCACATCGCAGAATGCATTATTCACACACAGAAATATTGAGCGGAAAAACGGTGTAATTGAAAGTACCAAAAGGAACATTTTTTTGGTGTAAAATTACTCTGTTTTCTGGGTAAAAGAACACTTATATGTGTGTTTTGCTAGCTTCGGAGTGCTTCACTATTGTGTAGGAGAACCGCTTTCAGTGTAACTTTACCGCGGATCTCGCGTTACATTTACGCACAAATATGTGTTTTTGGTAAAAAGTACCAAAAGGAACACTCGCGTGGTAATCGTACACAAATTCATCACGGTAAATTTACACAAATATGACGGTTATTATAACGATTTTTTCTGGTAAAGCTAATGTTGGGCCCGCAAAATTTGTAACGCAAGCGACACGCGGCGGGACGTTGTCGCCAGCCGCGAGCCTAGCTAAATGCAACGAAGCATTGTGATGCTCAATGCCTATTGCCTACCCCATGCTGCAAACACGTTTGTTTGTTTGTCGTTTATTGTTAAGAACCGACATCACATCTGACGGAAATAAAAGTTAGATTAGCGTATATACCTTATCATGTATATAAGCTGATATTTCACAACGCATGGGCGCCGCTACAGGTCGCAGCCACCGCCCGTCTCCCGTCAACTGCCCGTAATTAATAAATAAATAAAAATATATCATCTGACCTTAGCACTACTTCACTGTGCCAAAATTATCGTTCATTTAATTAGCCATCGGCTCTCTGTTGCCTATCTGGCAAAATATTAGCATACCTAATTAACCCTAGAAAAGCATGAAAGTGCATCCATTATTTTCATAACACGACAGCAGCTCAGTTGAAAAATTACAAGCCCACCTTAGCACTCCGACAAAGCTGGATAATTTCCAGCAGCTCCTCCAATGTCGCTCCGCTTCAGATTTCAGACTCGGTCTTGATTGCAGTTATCGGACGATGACCACAATGCAGTATTTCACTTATTATTCACTTAGTCACTCATTACTCAGCTTATTATCGAATTTGATAAACTAATGATATGGATCCGTTATAAATGGGCTTTACTTTAATCATCCCAATTTATTGATGTGAATTTGTAAAATACATAATCAAATGCTGAACGAAAGAAGCATTGTTGGAATTACAATCATCCTAACATTGTGCTCAAAGGGGTTTTAAGCATCTGTCTTGGTAACTTAACATCCGTTGAAAACATGAAAACAAAATTATGCGTCGTTTTGGACGGTATCAACATCACTGCTGGCAGCCAAGTGTCGTTAATGGCAACGACGCTAAAAAACTGTCGGATTTTGCACAGGAATAACAAATTCACCTAATGCAGTTGATATCAAATTATTGCAAACGATTTAAATGCTTTACACGTAATCATAAGCCACACATAAAAAGCCTAATTGTTGGTAGACATATTTAAGCGTAAACGTGCCTACAGGATACACTTTATTATTGTGCTTTACTGTCTTGCTTCGTGTAAGCTCAAGGCACTTTATTGATAGGTGTTCATTCCTGACCTCAAAAATTTGAGCTGAAAAAATGAATTATAATGTGCAAGAAAAGGAATAAGCACATACCTGAAATACGATCCTTCGACCAGTAACTGCTCCCTCGACTGTAACTGCCTCTGATCACCTCTCACAATCGTCCCTCTGGGCACTCTCCTCACAGGACCATGTCACGAGGAGGTCCGTCGCACACCCCACCGCCTTCACAGTCGCCACCGTACTACGGGACGACTCCCAGTCCCGTCGCGGCCCAGAGGCAGATTCGTCCCAGCGCCGCCGCCGCTGACGTCACGCCCCGTCGACCAATGGGCGAGCCGTCCGTGGTCGGCGCACGCGCCCGCCGCCGGCGGTGGGGCGGGGTGGGGTGCGGGGGCGGGAGTGGGATATTTCTGATATGTCAATGGAGTAAATAAATAAGAAAAATTTAGAATATACCAAAGCATTTTTCAGACTTCTCTTTCTTGTTGTGCAACAGACCAACCAACGTTCGTGGCCGAAATAGCTCAGTTGGGAGAGCGTTAGACTGAAGATCTAAAGGTCCCCGGTTCGATCCCGGGTTTCGGCAGTTTTGGGTCCCGGACGGGTCATTGGCACGACGCTAGTCGTTTCGACCGTTTCCGTAAGCATCCTGCTTCACTTACCCAAGCACACAAATTGAGCTACGGCTTTTGCATTGAATGATCGGCTGTGGACGGAAGTAAAGTAGGTATGTCTATTGTCTAACCTTTTCAGCATGCATGGCGGGAAGAAGAAAACTTACCAATAAGTCATCAATTGTTGAATTGGCAGCTTAACATTCACAAAATATGCGTAGAAACAAAGTACACCTTACCCAAATCGACAGAAACAACGCAAGTAAAGTGAGAGTTTACAAAAAGAGATAAGATATGAGTATGAAGTTGTTTAGGTTCATATTGCGAGCAACTATGACCTACTGAATATGACGATATATATGACGAATATGACGATATCCTTCCTCTGTTTGAAAGGCATGCCTATGTGCAAAGCTCAGATATACGAATTGCGAATAGAATCGAAAGCACGCCTTTTACAAATAACGACACAGCCTCCAAGTCATGTTTGTTCACATCTGGCCGGGTCCCTGTGCCTGGCACGTGTCAGCAGAGCGGCTCAAATGGCCCACACTGCAGGGGCTGGTTTAGACCCTCCCATATGCAGACTTCAGTCCCCGGTTTAGCAAACACGTGCCATCACTGTCTTCCCCTCCCCTTTCCGCTGCTCTCACCCTCTCTCTCCCTCTCTCTCCCTCTCTCTCTCTCTCGGCGACGCAGCCGTCGTCGGCTGCGTCGCTGGCGACGCGTCTGTCTCGCACATGTCGCCGGCGGAAACGCACCGGCGCGCTTTGATGTCGCGCGGGCTCCTCTCGCTCCGGAAAGAGGTGGCCTCTCTGTGTCGGTTTGTTAGTGAACAGGCGTCGCCAGCCGCCCGGCCGATCTACCTCACTGATGGATGATCAGGGACGGACGTAACGTTTATTTCAGCACGGCTGAACAGTCGGAAGATGCATCAGTGATCCTGCTGGGAAGTTGGACGAATGTTATTTGAATCTCGCTTAGAAAAGTCAAAAGGCTGGCTCATGAACCTGCGTAGATGCCTAGCGGACAAACATTGATTAGGTATGAAATTCGGGCTTATGTATATTTGCTCTAGTCTGTTCATTGACTTCACCTGATATTTGGAGTTATAGCATGACAACGTCAAAGGGTCGGTATGAAAGTCATTTTAAAGGATAAACTAAAAGGCTCCCGATGCCCATCTATTATAAAGAAAAATCCTTAAAAGTGAAACCAAGTCAGAGCCCACATCTGGCAGATGCTCGGTTGAGGACATTCCGACGAAGACAAATAAATTACGTGCGAGCTACACTAACAAGACGCGCTCACGCCTTTCAAGCCGCCGCCCCGGCCTCGCCGGCGCCGGTGGCAAGCTCATTACGCCAACCGGAGGACATATTACCCACGCCTGATCGGGTGTCACCGCCGACGCCGACGGCGCCGACGCCGACACCCTCTGGCGCGGCTGTGTGACCTTGCGTCTGCCCCCACCCACCCCACCCCAGCCTCCAGGGTGACCCGGGAACCGCGAGTTCCGGCTGCCGGGGAGGCCGGGAAGAGGAGGAGTCGGTGGGGAGAGCAAAGAGGGCACACGTGGCTCAGATGGAGGAATGTGGATGGAAGAGGTGACTGGTGACAGCTAGCGAAGGTGTGTATTGGGTATGTGTCTGTATTATCTCCTGACAGTGCATTGCTGATGCACTAAGTGGTTGATATTATGAGCTGGTTAGTGCTGAGCCACTTAACTAGCTTGAAGGGAATTTATAAGGAAGGGACCCAGCTCAGAACACGCATCAATCTATGCTTTATGAACGATCAAATTCGATCGTTTAGGTATGACTATGATACAACATTTTGTAGAAAATATGTCCATCTGATGCTACATGTGATTGACTGGGTCCAACCGGTCGATTTTTTTTTTCATCCGACACAGGATTACATCGCGTGCCACCTGCCTGTGGCCCGGCTACGTCCAATCCGATCACACTGGCTCTACAAAGACCGGATCAATCGGATCACGAGACGCGCTACAGAGCGGATCAAACTAGCTCCGTGGGCAGCCGGGACAGACAGGCGGATACCTAGCGAAGCCGTACATTAGAGGTAATCGCCTTACGGAGCCATTGATAGCTGTACTGTATCGGTTTCTGGTGCTCCGCCTACGCTCCAGGGCTTAGAGGGAAAATGAGCCGGAAAAAGCCAGATATTGGCGTCAGGGAACAATGCTGAAATATAGATACAAGATATAAGTCGCTCATTTGATCTACCTCAGTGATGGTCAAAGGATGCTGCGAGAACGGGCACTGGACGTTCATTGCGAATAGTGCAATATCCATGGCTACTTCGATGCTTTTCAGCTACTGTGTGTAGTTCTTTTTGTGCAATTACAAACAAAAAATGTCCAGCAAAGAAGCATGGCATCACTCACGAATGTTCAGCATGTTCAGTATATGAATAGCTGCAATGTCCAGCTATACATACTAGTGGTGTCATTTTCCAAAAAAATGTCTGACCGACCGAAACCAAAATTTGGGAAAAATTTCCGACCGAATACCGACCGATAACATCCCAAGCCAACATTTGACCGAAATTTGACCGAAATTCTATTTGCTATTACTCTACCCAAAAATTAAAATGTTTGGTAAAGTCTGATAAAAAATAATGGGAAATGGAATTTCAGACCAAGTTCAGTCAATTCTTAGCCACTGCAAAATACATTTTGTGCAGTAGAATTTACATTGTGAAGGGTAGAAACACATGGACCTCAGCATTTCACAGATTTGGTTAATTAGAATTGTCAAGAATCTACTGTGGTCTATGTAAGGAAGAATACTCATTCACGTTGCAAAAGCACGATCAATTAGTAAGTCTAATGGTTGGTAATAGGTATGTTCATGACAACATTCCCTAGGAGAAAAGGCAGAATCAAAACACCACAAAAGCACAAAACACATCAACACTGCTTGGAAACTGGCCTTGAGTCACTGGCGGTCCCAGGGAGGGGGCCACGGGGGCCATGGCCCCCCCCCTTTGGTGCTGAAAGGTGGGGCCATACTATCTTTTGGCCCCACCTTTCAGATCGAACAAAAGCCCTAGAAAGCTTTTTGTATGTTTCATTTTCTTTCTTGCGCCATCAAAGGACGTAAATTTCACTCATGGAGTGGGCTCAGTTTCGCATTCTGTCAATTTGGCGGTCAGCGTCGCTGACACCGATTCACGAGTATGGCTGGATCTTATATGGAATATCAGCGTGGGTTTACTTGAGGCTCTCGTAGGCCCAGCAATGGCTGGCATGAGACCCTCTTCGGCAGTGCCGGGTGGGCCCTGCCAAATGAGCGTGGCTCTTCGACATGCTAAAGTAAGACTTCATGGGTTGATGCTGTGCACCTCAGAAGCCCGGTGGTGACGCCGTATGCTGGCTTGGTTTCTTAAGGATTAGCGTGGGACCTCCGGGGCCTGCATAGAGTTTGCATGAGCTAGTAGGTATGCAATCTCAGAGGCCTGTGTGTAATGTGTACACAGTGGCGGTCGCGGGGGGGGGGACATCAGGGCCATGCCCCCCAAAGGCCAATAAAGGGGGCTATCATATCATTTGCCCCCCTCAAACAACCGATGGGCCCCATAGGTGTATGGGGCCCTGGCCCTTATTCGATCGTCACGAGGCCTAAAAAAAAAACACTCCCAGCTATCAATATAGCTCCCACACCGGTCTTTGAGTGACCTCTGAGGGAACTTCAGTGGCGGTCAAGCGCCCATGTTGGCCGCTTAGAGCCCACATCGACCTCTGAAGCCCCACATCTGGCCTATGATGGCCCCTAACCGTCCTCAGGGGCCCCAACCGGCGTCTGAGCGTCTCACACCGGTCTCTGGTGGCCTTATTTCTGTCTTTGGCGTCCCAAGACGAACCTTTAGGTGCCAATGAGGCCCCGCACTGGCTGCTAAAGACCTGATGTCGGCCTCTAAGGGCCTGCATTGGCCTCTGAGGAAGGCCCATCTTGGCCTTTGAGGGCCCTCTGCTAGCCTCTGGGGTCCAACGACGGCTCATGCCGGTCTTTTAGAGCCCCACGCTGACCTCTGAGGGCCCCATGTTGGCCTGTAATGAGTAAGGACCCACATTAGCCTCTGAGAGCCCAACTCGGTATCTGATGGTCTCAAACTACTGGCCTTTGCAGTTTGCAGGCCCTGTTGCGATTCCAAGTCGAATGTGTAGCGAATGAAACCCAAAAAAAGTTATAAATACACCAAGCGGATGTATTTTAATCAAAGTCCGGGCAAACCCAGCTCTAAACACCGGAGAAAACAGTGACCCTGCCGTCCGCGCTTCAGGGGTCGCCAATCGCACTAAACAGATGCGGCCACAGTGCCGACTCGATCCTTAAATGGGTACAAGTAAATACTCGAGATAGGCTCGAGGGCTACCCCGCAATTACCAACCCTTTAATAGGCTCACAGCCGTATAATTATGAGCGCCCGTACTTGGCACGCTAAATGGTTAATTTCAATACAGCACCATTAATAGCAGCAGACGATCAGCCCACAGACGTTCACGTTTTAACTGCCGCATTAATGGCGCTGTGTTTTGGTGGTCGGGACCAAATGGGTGTGGGGTGGAGGCTAGCCGACAGACGTAGTCTCCAATTTAGATTCTCGAACG